TATTTTACAGTATTAAAAAAGTCAATGTGATCTACCATATCAAGAGCCTAAAGAAGGAAATTCATGTGATTACATCAATTGATACAAATAATATTTTGAAAAAATTCACACATTTATGATTAAAAAAAATAACTCCCAGCACAACAGAAATAGCGGGTAATGTTTTCAACCTCATAATAGGCATCTGCAAAAACAGGTAGAAGACTGAATGATTTCACTCTACAGTTAGGGAAAAGGCAATCATGTAACTTTTACCACTCATATTTGACATTGTACTGTAAGTTGTAGTTACTACAATAAAGCAAGAAAAAGAAAAGGCATACAGAATTGAAAAGATAAAGTTGTTGCTATTGCCAGTTGATATGATTATCTGCATGGGAAATCCAAAGGATTCTACAAAAATACTCCTGGAACTAAAGAGTTAATTCATTATAGTTGCAAGATACCAGATCAGTACACAAAAATCAATTGGATTTATATATATTGACAATGAGCAAATGGAGACTCATTAAAAAAAACGTAATGCCATTTACAGTTGTTCCAAAGAATATGCAAAAAGAATTCTAACAAAAGATATGAAAGATTAAATGCAATTAAATGACAAAATGCTGATGAAAAAAATCTAAGAAGACCTAAATACTTGGAGAGATACATTGTTAATGAATCAGACTATTCATAATAGTAAAAATGGCAATTCTTGTTAAATTGATCTGTAGAGTTAAGGCAATTCTTACTAAAATCTCTGAAAATATATTTTTTAATATAGACAGGCTTATTTTAAAATTTATATGGAAAGAGAAAGACCTTAAACAATTTTGAAGGAGAAATTGGAAAGAATCACTCTTTCTAATATTAAGACTAACTTATGGTTACAGTAATCAAAACAGTATAGTAGTGGCAAAGGGATAGACACACAGATCGGTGGAACAGTATGGAGAGCCCCAAAATAGATGCACACAGATGTGTATGCCTAACTGATTCTTGACAAATGAATAACAGCAATTCAGCGGAGGTGGGGTAGCCTTTTCAATATTATTGTGGAAGGAACTGGACATCCATAAGCTCTATCCATCTATCAACCTTGACCTAATCCTCAAACCATATAAAATAATTACCTCAAAACAGATTGTGGTCTTTCATATAAAACATAAATCTGCAAAACTTCTACTAAAAAGAGAAAATTTTGGGACCTAGTGCTAAGCAAAGACTTATTAGACTTGACACCAAGAGTATAATCCAAAGAAGGAAAAGTTGATAAACCGGGCTTTGTCAACATTTAAAAATTTGGCTCTGCAAAAGACTGTTAAGAGCAAGAAAATACAAAATACAGATTAAGAGAAATATTTGTACAGCACTTATCCAACAAAGGGCTTATATTTAGAAAATATAAAGCAGCATCAAAACTTAAAAACATTTAAAAATCCAGTAAAATTTTATATAAAACATTTCACCAAAGAGGACATACAGATGGCAGGTAACACATGAAAAGATATCCGAATCATTTGGGAAATGCAAACTTAAACCAAAATGATGTTATCACCACACACCTATCAAAATGGCTACAATTTAAAAAATAGTGATAAAACCAAGTCCTGATGAAGTTTTGGAGAAACCATTATTGTTTGGAAGGTAAAAATGATACAGCCATTGTGCAAAATAGTTTCACAGTTCTTTTTTAAACTAAAAATGGACTTCATACCAAGAACCAGCAATTTCATTCTTGTGCATATGTTTCAGAGAAAAGAAAACTTATTGTCACTTACATTCATGAGTATTCACAGAAACTTTATGTGTAATAGCAAAAAACTTAAAATTACCCAAATGCCTTTTAATGGGTGAATGAATGAACAGACTATATCATAACACTGTATCCACACTATGGAATGCTACTTTGCAATGAAAATCATCGAATGAACTATTGATGCATTGCAATACTGTGGATGTACCAAATATAATTATATTGAGTGAAAACAGTCTCAAAAAGGATACATATTGTTTGAGTCTGTGTAGAAATTATGATGTATAATTATCAAGATGGAGAACAGTTTAGTGGTTGATGGGTTAGGGAAGGAGGGAGTGAATTTGGCTATGAAGTGTTCCAGTAATAATACAGCTAAGTGTCTTGATTAGGGTGGAGTTACATAAGATGACCTGAGTGACAAAATTGTATAGAGCACAGGCACAGATACAAGATTATGTCTATAATTTGAATCAGTGTCAGTTTCCTGGTTTTGATGGTGTAACATAGTTATGCAAGATGATAAATTTGGGAAAGGCTGGGCGAAGGAGGGCGCAGGACCTCCCCATATATTCTTTTCACCTGTCTGTGGATCTATAATATTTTAAACTAAAAAGTTTTAAAAACTTCCGAGTAACTCAGATTCTTGTATTTCTCAAATATGAAAGGAAGATACATCTCTAGCAATACTCAGTTCACTACCACCCACTCCCCTTAACTTTGTAGATATTCCCATAAGCCTTTTCAGAATTTATCTTGCATATTTGCCGCACTGTTTATTTCTTGTTTTCCTTCACCACCCCAACTCTTTGACGTGTGTGTGTGTGTGTGTGTGTGTGTGTGTGTGTGTGTGTGTGTATGTATATATATCCCAAAAGCTGAAATACTGATAAGATATTGCAAGGAGTTTCTTGAAGAGGGGAGCAAACTGAGTGAGTGAAGGCCTTTTGTCATGCTGCAAAAGAAGAAAGCCAGGGCATGCTCATACAGTAAGACTCTTTTACTTTGGTACACCCAAGAAGTGGATGTTCTTATGCCTAGACTTAATAATATTAAGCAGTTTTGTTTTAAGATCAGCAATGTTTATGTGATAGTCACAAAAATATGAACTGGCAGATTTCAGAGTCTGTATGTATTTCGTGTTCTTAGCTAAAATATACTGCCCTTCCACCATTATAATGCACTCTAATGAGTGCTACTCTGAGAGGTATATATAAAGAAATGGTATGGAAGGTCAAAGGAAGCACACTTAACTCCCTAGAGAAGGTTTTGAAGAGGCTTACAGGGTAAGATACTTGGTTTGAGTTTTGGAAGATGAGTAGAGTTAGCCATCTTAAAGAATGAGTGAGATCATGATACAGTCTACAAACCACAAGTATTTGTTATAGCTGGAATGTAGAATTTATGACGGACCAGTGGCAGAGGTGAGACTAGAAATGGCTAGATCACAAATGGCTTTAGCTGCCATTCAATAGAATGTGGATTAAAGTCTGAAGATAATGGTAACCGTTGAAGGATTTGTGTGGGATTTGATGTGAAAGAGAAGGGTTACTCTCAGGGCATTGTAGAGAATGGAATTGTGGGATGTGAGACTAGAGGTAAGATAAGTTGGGAAACTCTTTTACCAATTTAAGAGTCAAAAGAAAAGAGGCTGAGCTAAGGCAGAAACTGAAATAATAAACCATAGAATTATTGGGAGATAGAATTGGTAATTTGACACATTTGAGTATAGTAGGTAAGACGCAAATATAATTCCTAGTGTGCTGACTTGAGTGGCTGATCATGTTCAGTAACTGAACTGGGAATAAGATTATGTAGTAAAAAGGATAAAGTCAGGTTTATAAATTATCTGAGGTAGCTTTGCTGCATAAGAGTGGAGCTGCTCAGATGTCAGTTTAACATGCACAGAAACCTGTAGTTAAAGAGAAAGGGGATACCAGGTTGGAAATCAGCAGCATATGTTAAAGCCTGGGGATGGGAAGAGAAGGAGGGCCGGAAAATGAAACTCTAGAAAATATTGACATTCAGCAATGAGCCAAAGAGAGGAAAGCCTGTGAGAAATAGTGACCATTGGAAGAACTCAAGAGAGAGTGAGTGCCATTATAAATATCGAAAAAGAAGAGAGACTTTTTAAAAATGTGTGAATTAGAGAACATTTATATAGTGGAGTGTTATAAATAGTATATAGTCACTTAAGAATAGTGTTTGTAAGGAGTATTAAATGGACGTGGGAAGAGACTTAGGATATAATATTATCTGGATAACTAGTAAAATGCCAGTTTTATAAAAATAAACATGTATGTATTATACATATGCAGAGAAGGAAATTCTCAGATGCAGAATTATAAATGATTCACATTTTCTTTATGTTTAAATAAATTTTCTATAATATGTATATATTATGACAGAAAAATACATATATAAATTAAGTGTAAATTAAGTGGATTCAGTCAAAACTAATTTAATTTCCAGTGGAAGTGTTAAATGCAGAAATCACCCAAAAGAGTTTATTTGAATTGTGTAGCAGGTAGTCATTGGTGACTTCAGAAAATTTTCATCATAATGGGATCAGAAACTAGATTGTGGTGAGCTGAAAAGTGACTGGGAAGCAGGAAAATTGAGATGATAAATATAAAAAGCACATGTTCAATAAGCCAATAGAAAGGCATTTGACAGGGTAGTGCGACTAGAGTTTTTTTAAGGGAGGAACTTGAAGTATGCTAAAGGAAGAGAAAGTATATAAACTATGTTCAAAAATGAGTCTGTTTGTGTTTGGGTACGACCATTTGCAGTATAGTCACTGAACCTGCCAGAGTGCAAAGAGTTTGATTAAGATCTGTTCATTAATATACAACACATTTGTTGAATTCAGAAAAAGCAATCTCAAATATCTTTGTATGTGTTTAGTATGTATACAGACATATGTTGAAATGGATTGGCTGTTTGTAGAAGAAAAATTTGGTTTGGGGTTTAGCTAACCTCCAAAGCAGTGATTAAAAAGAAAACCCTCTTAAACGAGTAATTCAAAGATAGCTGGTCTCTATTTTGAATAATTATATTTGGGGCTTAAATGCTTCCTTCTGTTCTCACTGAAGATACATTTCAAGTTGGCATAGGAAAATACCAGGGTTTGTTACCAGTTTATCATCAAGAAATGATCAGTATTTGCCAAAAGAAATAAAGTAGCACCTGGATGTTCCTTGGTAAGATAATAATGTAGCCATAGTCATTCTTTAAACTTAGTACATTAAATGATAAACAGGGAATCCTGCAAAACCTGGCAGCTATATATGGAGGCAGGCCCAGCTCTTCAAGAGGAGGGAAGCCAAGAAACAAAGAGGAAGAGGTATGCCTCCCGCATGTTCGCTACCTCCATCACATAGCCGTTTTTGAATTTATTGCCTTCTTTTCTTGCATGGTTTAAATTCTTAACAATTATTTGAAGATTTTGTAGGTCTAGAGGGACCTGTTAATATATTTTTGACTGACATACTGTGTCTTAATTTGCCCCATAACTTATTCAGTATTATGATTTCAATTTCTTTTCTTTTGATTAAAAATTTATAATTTTATGATGTATTTCTTCCTTTTCAGAAGTAAATTGTTCTAAATTAAACACTTGAAAGCTAATATTACATTTCCATTAACCAGATTTCAGAACTTTTATTTCTTGTATTCAAATTAACACTGTTCATTAAATTTTTAAAAATTTATCAGTAAAAATGTCAATAGCTTTACTTTTACATTATTATGTAGGGGTTTTTGCCTCTTTCTAGGTTTATCTGGCACGACTGAGGCAAATAAGACTACAGAATTTCAATGAGCGCCAGCAGATTAAAGCCAAACTTCGTGGTGAAAAGGTAAGTTGAAAAGCAATTTTTTCGAAGAAACTGAATGATATTGTAATAGATTAACATTTAAAATGCTGTGCCATTAACAACACCACCAAAAAAAACTGATGACAGTGGAAGTTCAAAGATCAGAAAACTACACATAAAGTAAATCTTATGTATATGATTTCAGATTAGTAAGACCATTTGTTCCAGAAGAATTCAGAGAGGAAAATACAACTAGTATTCATGGGACGATTAAATGCATTTTATATCATTATCTTTTTGTTCCATTGTTCTTAAAGGCTTGATAGTTGTGTAGAGAGTTCAGTTGTAGCTTTAGGGGAAAACTAACAGCCTTAAATGATTTCCATTTTGTATTTTTAGATTTTAGTTTATTCATTGTTATCTTTCACAGAACTCTGTGCCCAATTTGATGATTCTGTCCTAAGTGATTTGTTTGTCTGCTTATTTTGTAGAAAGAAGCCAATCGTTGTGAAGGACAAGAAGGAAATGGAGAGGCTGACATGAGGCGCAAAAAAATCGAATCACTGAAGGTATAGACTAGAAATGATACAGGTTTTCTTAGAGAACACTGAAAGCTGAGATAGAAAATTGTGTTCCTAAGTTTTGCAGTTAAATCACTTTATTCTTTTCCTTTAATTTTCTCTCCTTTTTATCTTCTACGTTTTGGTTTCTAAAAATAATATTTCTCTCTTTTTGTATTATTTTTATGAAGATAGATAAAACCATGGCATAAATACATGAAACCATCATACAAGTAATCTTGAAAAAATGGTAGCCTTAAAAATGAAAAATATACAGATATACATTTCCATGAAGGTAAATGAAGTCTATGTATAATTGTTATAAATTTTTACATTTTAATTTCCGTTCAAATATACCGGCATTTATTTTCACTCAGCAAGTATTTATTGAACACCTGCTGTATGTCAAGGCTGGTTCTAGGAGCAAGAGATTTAGAGTGAGCTTACATCTTTATTCTAAGACCACATGCACACTTCTTTTTTGGTCAATAAGTAAATACCTTCATGGACCTGGCAAAAAAAAAAAAAAAACCCTATGCCCTTATATCTGGTAACTCATTTTGTTGTTTGTCTTTATTTTTAGGCCCATGCAAATGCACGTGCTGCTGTACTAAAAGAACAACTAGAGCGAAAGAGAAAGGAAGCTTATGAGAGAGAAAAGAAAGTGTGGGAAGAGCATGTAAGATTTAGCTCCTATTCTTCATCCTGGTTGTGTTAACATTTTTATAGCTCTTCCTGGGTAGTTCATCAGTATTATGATTTTCTAATTCTTTTTATTTTGTGGTTTTTTTTCATTCTCATTCTCTCTCACCCTTTGCCTTTACCTCTCTTTCTCAGTCTGTCTCTTTCTATCTCTCTTTCATTTGAGAATAATCTGCATGGAAGCTATTTGGGAGATTGATCTGAAGTCAGAACCTAATTTATTTTATGTTTAAATTTTTGATTATTGCCAAGTAGCTTATCAAAATCCCAGCATAATTGAATGACTACATCGTCCTTCTGCCACTGATTTATAATGCTATTTGTAAGATTTATTAAATTCCTATATATACTAGAGAATGAATTTATAGCAAGTATGAATCAAGCTATATCTTCCTTTGGGCTTTCTACTTTGCTCCATTACTCTGTCTTTTCTGCCAGTACCTTAATGTATTGGTAATTACAGATTTAGAATATGCTTTAATTTCTGTATAATGCATTCCTCATTTCCCCTTTACTCCTTTCTACACTTATTATTCTTAGTTATTTGCTCTTTTTCTTTACCAGATAAATTTTTAGGGTAATTCTTCTTCCTTTTTCTCTTCTTTTAATCCTCTTGTACTTTTGGTTAGTATTATATTAAACCTCCAAGTTAACTTAAGAAGAATTGACATAGTTATAGTAGTTTTTATACATGAACTTGTTAGAGTTCTACATTTATTCACTGTTTCTTTTCTATCTCTTACACAAATTTTGATCATTTTTCACACTTACCTGTTGTATTTATAGTTTCTAATTTCATTTCAATCTTTAAATATTTTTTTCTTAACAGAATATTGCTACTATTTGCAGACATTTTAGGTTTTTGCTTATCCTCTTATCTAGTAAGTTTTCCTGTTCTAACAATTTTCAGTTAATTTTCTGAGTTTTAGCACACAACTAGATCATTGGCAAATAGTTATGATATACATTATAGTAACAACAGTTCCTATAGTTTATTGCTTATTGTATGCCAGGCATATTGTAACCACTCTACTGTTGACCCATAAACAATGTGGTGGTTGGGGCACTGGCCACGTGCACAGTCAAAAATTCACATATAGCATTTGACTTCCACAGACTTTACCACTGATAGCCTACTGTTGATCTGCAGTCTTGCCAATAACATAGAGTAATATATTTTTTGTACATTATATGTATTATATACTGTATTGTTACAACAAAACTAGAGAAAAAAATGTTATTAAGAAAATCATAAGAGAAAGAAAATATATTTACTATTCTTTTGTTTTTTGAGATGGAGTCTTGCACTGTTGCCTGGGCTGGAGTGCAGTGACACAGTCTCGGCTCACTGCAACCTCCACCTCCCAGGTTCAAGCAATTTTTCTTTTCTCAGCCTCCCACGTAGCTGGGATTACAGGTGCCCACCACGGCACCCAGCTAATTTTTTGTACTTTTGGTAGAGATGGGGTTTCACTATGTTGGTCAGGCTGGTCTCGGATTCCTGACCTTGTGATGCACCTACTTTGGACTTCCAAAGTTCTGGGATTATAGGCGTAAGCCACCACGCCTGATCTATATTTACTATTCTTTAAATGGAAGGGGATCATCATAAAGGTCATCATCCTCCTTATTTTCAGGTGGAGTAGTCTGAGGAAGGAGAAGTAAGAGGGTTGGTCTTGCTGCCTCGGGTGGCAAAAGCAGAAAAAAAATCCATGTGTAAGTGGACTTGTGCTGGTCAAACCTGTGTTGTTCAAGGATTAACTATATATATTTTTTAATCCTTACAACTTTACAAAGCAAGGATAGAAAGGGTAAAATAATTATATAAGATCATATTTCCAACTAAGGGCAGAACAAAGATTTGAACCTGGATCTGCCCAATGTTGAAGTCTTTTTCATATGCTGTTTCCCCTGCTTTCTGTAAGTTGTGCCTTAAAAAATTTTTTTTTTTAACTTTTAATTTTTGTAAGTACATAGTAGATGAATATATTTATGGGATACATGAGACATTTTAACATAGAATGTGTACTAATCACATTAGAGTAAATGGGATATCTGTCACCTCAAATTTATCCTTTCTTTGCATTTCGAACAATCCAGTTATACTTTTAGTTATTTTTAAGTGCACAGTAAAGTATTGTTGACTGTAGTCACACTGTTGTGCTGTCAAATACTGGATCTTACTGATTTTATCTAACAATGTTTTTGTACCCATTAACCATTCCTACTTTCATGCGCCCACTACCCTGACCAGCTTTTGGTAACTATGGTGTTCTGTTTCCATGAATTCAATTGTTTTAATTCTTTCAGTTTCCACAAATAAGCGAGAACCTGCACAGTTTGTCTTTCTGTGCCTGGCGTATTTCACCTAACTTAATAGAACCCCAGTTCCATTCATGTTGTTTCACATGACAGAACCTCATTCTGTTTTATGGCTGAAGAGTACTCCATGGTGTATATGTCCCACATTTTCTTTATTCATTCATCTGTTGATGGACAATTAAGTTGCTTCCAGTTCTTGGCTATTGTGAATAGTGCTGCAATAAACATGGGAGTGCAGATATCTCTGATATACTGATTTCCTTTCTTTTGGATATATACGTAGCAGTGGGGTTGCTAGATCATATGGTTAGTTCTATTTTTAGGTTTTTGAGGAATCTCCAAACAGTTCTCCATAGTAGCTGTACTAGTTTACAATTCCACCAACAGTGTATGAGTGTAAGAGGATTCCTGTTTCTCCACATAGTTGCCAGCATTTGTTATTGCCTGTCCTTTTGATAAAAGCCATTTTAACTGCAGCGAGATGATATCTCATTGTCATTTTGATTTGCATTTTTCTGATGATAAGTGATGTTGAGCACTTTTTCATATACCTGTTTGCCATTTATATGTCATCTTTTTAGAAATGTCTATTCAGATCTTTTGCTCATTTTTTAATTGGATTATTAGATTTTTCCTATTGGGTGGTTTAAGCTTCTTATATATTCTGCTTATGAATCCCTTGTCAGATGGGTAGTTTGCAAATGTTTTCTCTCCTTCTATGGGTTTTTTTCTTCTCTGTGTTGATAGTTTCCTTTGCTGTGCAGAAGTTTTTTAACTATATATTATCCCATCTGTCCATTTTTGCTTAGGCTACCTGTGCTTATGGGGTACTACTCAAGAAATCTTTGCCTAGGCCAGTGTCCTGGAGAGTTTCTCCAGTGTATTATTATTTTTTCTTTTTTTAGTAGTTTCATAGTTCGAGGCCTTAGATTTAAGTCTTTAATCCATTTTGATTTGATTTTTGTATGCGGAAAAAGATAGGATGCTAGTTTCATTCTTCTGCATATGGATATCCAGTTTTCCCAGCACCATCTATTGAAGACACTGTCTTTTCTCCAATGTATATTCCTGGAACATTTCAAAAATGAGTTCATTATAGATGTATGGATTTATTTCTGGGTTCTCTATTCTGTTCCACTGGTCTATGTGTCTGCTTTTATTCCAGTACCATCTGTTTTGGTTACAATAGCTCTGTAGTATAATTTTAGGTCAGGTAATGTGATTCCTACAGTTTTGTTCTTTTTGCTCAGGATAACTTTGGCTATTCTGGGTCTTTTGTGGTTCCATATGAATATTAGAGGAGTTGTTTTACTTTTTTAATTTTTTACAAAAAAATAACAGTGGTAATTGGATAGAAATTGAATTGATTCTGTAGATTGCTTTGGACAGTATGGGCCTTTTTTCTTTTATTGTACTTTAGGTTCTGGGGTACATGTGCAGATCATGCAGGATTGTTGCATAGGTACATACATGGTAAGGTGGTTTACTGCCTCTATCCCTCCCGTCACCTATATCTGTCATTTCTCCCCATGTTATCTGCC